GAACCGCATCAGTGTAGGTGGCTGCAGCTCCAACAAAGAGGAAACATGACTTGAACTCTTCCAGACCAGCCAGGAACCATCCAGCTGGACAGTCGCCTTCGATAAGGGAAGAGTTCGATTCCAACACAGGCTGATAGTCTACCTGAATTTGAACAGCAAACTGGTATATCCATAAGGAACTACTGAGGCCTCGTGGTATTACTTATTGACATGAAGCGTTACCTTAATAAGGTATGGGTAATCAGAAAAGTCACGAATTTTCCCGGCTGCCACACTTTCAACACCAGGATATCCCCAGTAATTGAGTCGAGCGTCTATAGATCCGATGTCGTACCTAAAAAAGTCAATGAGTTGTACCAGCACTATCAAGTGCAGTTTTCACCGAATAAGAAATCAGAGAACTTCAAACTTACTGGGTTCGCTTGGATGTAGTCAGCTCGTAAGGATTCTTTTTGTTATTCAAGACGTTTCCCCGATAGTGCTGTTGAGAACTGCCAGCTGAAAGTGTTCGTTCATTTAGTAAAAAATCTCTTTGCACAAGGATATTGGGCTAGGTTTGTTTTCGGCACATGTAAGGATCGCACATGTAAGGTTTTGGCGTGATTTCCTCCATCGAGGTGAATTTTAAGGGTACCTCCCCTGTATATAAGGGAAAGCACCTGCTTTTCGGAGATTGTACTGTCATGTGGTGTGTTTCATAGGAGAAGGCCATACACGTAACATTTCATACCAAATCTCTGAATATTGAATGCCTCCAAACATATGGAGCAAATACCATTACAGTTAAGAGAGTCATGTATTCAAGGAACAGTTCAGCGACGTGGGGGGGGGGCATTCTGCATTTCGCAACTTCCTATCGACGTGTCGAATCATCTAGAGAGCCGTTTTGTGGGTTCACAAGACAGGTTTTAACGTGGTGGCTCAACGAGCTTGCTCCAGCTTCACAAGAGTTCACAGGTTTCACCAGAGTGAACTTGTAAACCGGAACTAGTGAAGCAGCGAAAGTGCAAAATGCCCCCCTCCTCCTCGCCGCACTGAGCCTACAATGAAGACAGCCCTAGCGCTCAACCAACTCGTACGCATTCTTCTCTGTACAAGTCTGG